AAATTTTCAGCTATAACGAAATCGTTCGAATGGCTGAACAACAGCGACGGTTGATCGATGCGAATCAACGAGAAATCGAGCAGCGAGAGCTGAGACCTGAGCGGGTGGAGAATGCTGCTGCGAGATTAGCAGCACTTCGGAATGAGGTAAACCGTCGAATTGCAATGAAGAACCTGTCTTTAAGCACACTCCCGAACAAATAAAGCTGAAACGGCCGTATAGAAATGAACCACGAGTTGGTTGTTTCCACGAAATCACTATTCCAAATTGTTTTGTAAACATATGCTCTTTGCAAGTCTGTCTCTACTGTCGTTTTGTATTCATTATCATCGAATGTTGGATTACGATTCATTCCGTGAGAGACTTGCTGACACGCATATATACATCATTGATGAATTATTAGGTGTTACGTGAAGAGCGTGAAATGGCACGTTTAAATGCGATTCAACGTGAAGCACGTGAAACTTTCGCGAGGCGGTTGGCGGCTGAGAAACAACTACATGAAATGCAGAATACATATACGTCCCAAGAAGATCAATTGCGGACTGCCGCATCTCGAATCGATTCACTCAAATCACAGGTAAACATTGGAATGTGCTGCTCCACTACAATATTTGAAACATATCCGTACAAAATTCACTATAAATTCTGTATTTACTATCGTCTGACCGCAATGATAGAGATTACGGAAGTATTTTCTTCAAATGTGAAAAGCATGAACAATTTCTCTGAAATCAAATTTTCAAGCGTTTTCACGGTTAGTTTCAAATCCAAGGAATTCGTTCCATTCGATGTTTTCTTCAGTTGGATCTTTTGTATCGACGTCGGATGTCCGCAGTGAATGCGGCACGTGCACAGCAAAACCGATTCAACTCCCAAACCAACTCACTGAATCGACCAATTAAGGTCAGTTTATTCTTTATTTTTGTAGTCGCCTGGCTGCTTCTTTCTGCAGTGAATTTTTTGATTTTCTTTTGACACTACTGATGTTCTTAGAACATAATTTCAAATGTGCATTTGAATGGCTTCTGTCTAAACCATTTGCTGTTGAATGACGCATAATTTTATTGTCTCAAATTTCCATGATCTGTGTATTGTGCTGGCTTTATGAACAGTTATTGATTACGTATGTAGGAGTTACGTAACTGATTCCTAATGGAACTTGAATTTGTTTCTGTATGAAGGAGTTTGAAAAATGGAGTAAAATGAATGAATTTCGCTGAATTGAGCGATTTTTCAGAAAGATAACAGTTCAAGAATAAGCAGTGGTAGTTTCGGTGAAGCTGCTGCACCGTCAAGACCTCAAGCGTCGGTGGAGCCGTTCCAGGTAAGACTTGTCAACATCGAATTCTCAATCTTTTGCTAATTCTTTTTCATCCAGATATAGCCGAAGACTAACAGTAAATGCGCTTTCGACGTCTGTTACGTCTGATTTCGGGTTACTGTCTGCTTTTCAGATCACACGTCCAACGGTCGTCGTAACGAAACCATCAGATGAAAAGCGAACGGTCAACACGTCTGTTGTTGTGGTACCTCCTCCACCCCTGCCTGTTCCGCCCACACCTCAGTCGTTGTCATCTTTGTCCTCGCTTAAAACGGGCACCAACGTAATTTCACCGCCCTCAAAGGATCTCACAGATCGGTAGTTGACGTTTATCGATTGTTATCTGAATGTTTCATTGTGACTTTTTTGCCGTTTTCGTTCTCTCATTCACGATTTGTTTTGGTTAAGTTAGCCTATACATCGTTTTTACCTCATAGATTGTATTGAGTCTACCAGGCGATTTTTTCGCGTTAAAGTTTCTCTTTTGTCACAAAATTTAATGTTTTTCATTTAATGTTCTCGTTTCCAATGCGATACAGTGAGTCCCATTTGCTCTATATCAAGTCTTTTAGGATATTTAGAGGCTTATTACTGATTATCGGTTCTAATTTCATGTGTTGTTTTGAAGGGTTGTTTTCCGTAAACCACTACTGAACGAACAACTGGTAGCGACTAATCGTGATGAGTCGCCATCACCTCCGAAGGATCCGTATCCATCGCTGACGTGCGCTCCTCCGGTCGAACGACCCGTACTGTTCGTGCAGAAGTCTGAGGCGAACCTATCCACATCTGTTCCAGTGGCCAGTGTGAAGAACATGTCTGCACTGAGAAGTTCGTCAGCAAATGTTGGCCAGCAGCAATTGAGTCCGCAACAGATTCTCTCAACGCCATCCGCTATTCCATCGATGACATCTGCACAATCACAGCAACAACACTCGAGAAGATCCACAAATATGCACAATTTATGGAATGAGGCTAAGATTTTGGATCAAGAAGCTTTGCTGAATGCAAACGATAAAAC